TAATAACGCTTTTGTAAAAACAATGCTTACAATAAGAAACAAACCAGACCCTACTTGTCAGTTATCCTCCCTCTCAAGTATTATTTGGCCATTCCATTCGCGACGCCATGCCCAGGATAAAATCCAGAATACCTATGTTTAATAACAACCAATTCTTGAAAACGCGGAGACATGCATGGTCTGCAAAAGAAGAAGCATTAAGAACAAGATATGCAAAGACCCTTGAATCACTTCAAGAACACACACATTTTCTCACACCACTACATGAAGGAGACAGTGTCTTCATACAAAATCAAGTAGGGAACCACCCTAAAAATTGGGATCGTAGTGGAAAAGTTGTTGAATGTAAGGAAAATGACCAATACATCATTAAGGTTGAAGGAACAAGTTGACTAACTTTGAGAAATAGAAAATATTTGCGCAAATTCCTCAACCCACTAAAGTCATACGAAACCGAAGTTGCATTGACCACACCACCAAAAACAAGCTCTAGTCACTATAACTCTGCCGAATCTCCAACACCATTTACAGAGTATGTCCCAGAAAGTAGCAACAATGTCATACCATCCCAACCGGAACTAGCACCATCTACAGTATTCCTACCGCCTCCTACATTTGCACCTGCAGTACCACCACTATCTCTACCAACAACTCCAGTACCCTTACCGTTGATGCCATCATCTTTATCAAAAACCTCACCGCATCTAGCAATGCCACCCTTATTAAATACTGAAGTCGTAGGAGATCAACCATTGAAACGTTCACCCAGGCTACGTATCCCTAAGAAATTCTACGAACCAGAAACCGGGAAATCTTTGACATTAGATGACTTTAAGAAATGAACCCAGAAATTATGTTTATATTCATTGACACTTAACAACATGGAAGGGGATGTAGAAATAGTGACATTGGTCATTTCTTATTTTTATATTGTTTTTATATTGTTTTATATTGTTGTTGTTTACACTTATTGTTATTTCATTTAGAAACTAACAATGTTTAAGATATAATTATAATTGAGAACAACGACTAACTTTTGTTTAACTGTAAATGAACTTCAGCAGCAAGTTAGGATAAACCATTTACAATGAGGTGCACCATCAAAATTATTTGAAAATTTCTCAACAAGGTCTAAGAAAAGAAGATCTTTAGAGATTACTGAAAAGTTAGGAGTTACTACTGAAAATCTATTTCATGCCCATATTTTTAATCTAAATAAAGATGGACGAAATAAAGACACCAAGTTTTAAACATATGATAAAAAGTAAAGTTGATTGATCCTGCAATGTATCATGCTCTAAAGTCTACTCAGCTGAAGAAGCTTTAGGTTTAATTTTAGACTGTAGAATGAGTAGGGCTGACTACCAAACTATTCGTCAAGGGGCCTTAGATAAAGGTTGCATGTTATACCCTGCTTACAACTTTATTGTGAAATCTAAAAGTGATTGTATTCCAGATTCCGGAATTGTTACCACAAACTACAGTGCTTCTGTAAATCTTCAAGTAATAATGGATTACAATACAAACAGGATTTGGAAAGTTACTGATAAATCAAAACTACCTGAGCCTTAAAATACTCTTCTTCTTATAAGCAAAGTCGGATTCGATGGTTCAACTGGACAGTCTGTTTATAAACAGAGAACTGAAGATGAAAAGGACAGATTTTCAGTCTCAGTTGAAGAATCTTTGTTTCTTTCATGTACAGTACCTGTGCAACTTAGAGTTCAGGACACTAATGTTATTCTTTGGACTAACCCCAAAACATCCTCAACCCAATATTGTCGCCCTGTTCGAATGCAATACGTTAAAGAAAATCAGCAAATTGTTAAAGCAGAATATGATTTTTTATATCAACTGAACTCAGAACAACAACCGTAGACTTGTTTAGGTTAAGCGCAAGTTAGAATGTACTATAATTGACGGAAAAATTTCCACTCTTCTTTCTCCATTAACTGATTCTTATCAAGTTTGCAATATCTGTGGATTAAATCCTAAAAAAATGAATGACTTTGTAATTGCTTATAATAAACATCCTAATCAGATGTCTTTGGACCTGGGAATCTACACTCTCCATCTCTGGATTTGTTGTTTTGAATGTCTGTTACATATTGGACAGAGAAGAAGACCAGGGTATAATGATTGTGGATTTTTTCATGCAAACACTCCTGAAAAGAAAAATATAGTTGCAAGTAGAAAAAAAGAAATTCAGGAAAAAGTCAAAGATACACTTGGACTTGTTGTTGATGTACCAAGAAGTGGTGGCTCTGGTACATCCAATGATGGAAACACAGCAAGAAGGGCATTTAGAAACCATGAAACTTTTGTTGAAATACTTGGAATTGATAAGGGTCTTATTAAAAGATTTTTCATTATTCTTTGTGTGTTATCCTGTAAACACCCAATTGATCCAGATAAACTAGAATTATATTGCAAAGAAACATTTAACACATATGTAGCACATTTTAAGTGGTATACTATGCCTGTTGGAGTTCACAAGATGATTGTACACTCACACCAAGTTGTAAGAGACAAGCCAGTTCCAATTGGCCTCTTATCTGAAGAAGCCCAGGAAAGTAGAAATAAAGATGTTAAAATTTTTGAGAACATTTTACAAGAAAACTTACAACTGAAGATGTAATGAGAAGATTGCTCTGCTCATCAGACCCCTTTCACACTTCTATGAGGCGAAATTCTGAATCAAAAAAGGAACTTGAACTTCCAGCAGAATGTTTAGACCTTCTTTTGCAACTTTCTAAATAATATTATATTCTTTATATTAAACTAATTGAATTATTGATAGTATGTGTCCTAAATATATTTACTTTATTTTAATAAAGTATATATATTTAAGAGCATTAATTCTATACACTATTTTTCATAAATGTACCATAAATCTTGGAAATTATTTTAATCTTTATATATTGTTGTTGTGCTTACTTTTTGTCCTTGGCACCTGTCCTTGGTGTTGTCCTTGGTATAATACTCTGCATGTTTTTGTAATCCACCAAGATGTTATAAATGTGAAGTTTGTCCTCTAGAAAATATTTAGTTAAAAGCTATTCATAATTCTGTTAAAATAAGTTAAATGGAAGTTTTATTATGCTATGTGATCTTGGTGTTCTGCACAGGTATGATACTTATTCAATCGAACAATGTATCAAACATTCTGGTGACTGTTTACAGTGAATAGAAAGTTGAAAATTAATACAAAATACGTGTCACATGTCTATTATTCATTTTGCAATTTGTCCTTGGTTTTGTGTTATTGGCGTGTCCTTCAGAGATATATAAAGCAACATTACAATAACAGTTATTGTTGGCCTGAGTATAATGAACATTCACTAAAAATTTTGACTTATTAACTTCAATATTGGTGAAGATATAATTTTTGCCTCAAAAGTGGCATTTCTGTGCAATTTTAAATATAAAAATATATAAAATAATAGAAATTTGTATTTTTAATACGTAACGCCTTTATCAACTTATAAATCAATTACTTAAATTTAAACTGATATTATCTTTAACTAAATGTTTTATATTTTTACCTAACTTTATAAAAGAAAAACTTCAACTCTTGTCATAATTTGTCATATTACTTAAATAGTTTTTATACCACAATCGTATTGAAGAACTAATTTAGCGCGCGCTTATTATTTTGTTCTATTATTTCGTTTTATTGTATCTTCAAACAAGTCCGAACTGAGTCCGTCATATTAAACTTTTTAATACAGTAGATTAATAACGGTTTTTCAAACAAATAAACTGTATTATGACAAAAGTTAAAAATTTATACATTCAATAATAGGTTGATAATTTTTTTTTTTTTTTTTTTTGTAGTTATTTTAGATGTTTCCAGAAGTCCTTACGGTCTTATCACAGAGCACCGCTATTCGAAAAAAAAAAAGAAAGTAAGGTCTTAACTCTGAAATCAAATCCATAAACTTTATATAACAAATTTTTTGACTGTTGATAAAAGATATAATCTTTTAAATAATAGTTTAAATTCGATTGATTGCAAGTTAAAAGGTCACTCGAGGCTATTGACAGGAAGTTCACGCCTCCTTTTGTACGAATGTCGCTTGTTGGGCGTCGAACCTCGGACCTCTGAGTTCTGAGCAGGAACTCTAACCACTGCGCTACGGCTGCTCTAATAAATTTGTTGAATAATCAGAATGGGCGCCAATCATATTTTGTAACTTTTTATTTTAGCCCAATATAAAATAGATACGATACTTTGATATTGTTTTACAACAATAATACACGTTATTGCAACTAATTTATCTGCTTATAATACTCTTGTGTTATTCGAAAAAAAAAAAGAAAGTAAGGTCTTAACTCTGAAATCAAATCCATAAACTTTATATAACAAATTTTTTGACTGTTGATAAAAGATATAATCTTTTAAATAATAGTTTAAATTCGATTGATTGTAAATTAAAAACTCACTCGAGGCTATTGAACGAACCTTTGTTGATATAAACATCCCTAAAGTACCAGTTTTGAAAGATTTCAATGCGGTTTAACTTCTTAATCGTGACCGTTCATACCATTTACTAACTTTACTATTTATTAATTTAATTATTACTACTTTAATAAAGGCGGCTAAATGTGATCGTGAATATACTTCCATGGTTTAATTTTTTTTATTAATTCATATGTTTTTATATAATTTTAAAGCACCTTTATAAATAAGTTGATTTTTATGAAAAAGTACCTAAACAGTAGTTTATTAATTTTTTTTTTTTTTTAATAAATTAATGAGATAAGCTTTTATAAAGAGAACAAAAATATATCAACAAAATAAGAAGTTAAAATCTTTAAACTTAAAATGAAATTATAAACAGATTAACATGTTGCTGTCTAAGCTGTTGTCATGAGTTATTTTTGTTCATTAAAACCTTTTTCATAACAAAAATTTATAAGATACAGTTTATTCAAATCATTATCATGAGTCAAACTTATTATAACTAGAAATGTTTTAGTTTAACTTTGGTTATTTTTTTTTAAACTAAATTTATTTTTTAAAAAGATGCTTTAGTAAAATGTTAACTTTATTTTAAAGTTTATAATATCAAAATGAAATCTCTGGTCTTCGTTTTGCAGCATTTATTGTTTTATAATTTCTTTATCGGTAAGTAAATATGTTTTAATTTTTTAGCAGTAACTCTTAGTAAAAAATATTATCTCATTAAATTAAAAAAAACTCTTAATTTTTCATATAGATTTAATAAAAATCATTTTGTAGACTAAATTTCCTTATTTTTTTGTACACATTGAACCAGAACACACAACACAAAGTTTTTTGTGAGGTTTTTTTCCTTTCATATAAGCGCTAGCTACTGTCGCAACAGTAATTTTAACAACTTTGATGTCTATTCTTTATTAGCCTAATCTACTGCTGGCTATGATACCTAATAACTAAACAAAAATAAGAAATCCCAATGCTGAAAAAAAGCTGAAAAAAAAAACAACGTAATTTGCTTGCTGTGGAATTAATTGATTTGACTAAGGCAATAATTAAATAACTCCTCAACTCATCAATTTGCTACACTCCTAAATAAATTTATTTAGTGATGCCCAGGAAAAAAAACAAGCTTGCATGCGTTTTCTCTTCTTTATACTTCTAAAGGTTTACTGATTTAAAAAGTTCTACCATGTTGGTGAAATTCTTTCAGTAAAACTCAAAGCAAATATTATAAAAAATATTTCAATATTTACGACAATGTTTGTTTGCTAAAATAAATTTCTAAAATAAGTAAAAGTTATTCAAGTGAAATTGGTATATCCAATCATAAAATAGATACAATAAATTTAATCTTGTTGATGACTTTTACCAATTTAAAAATTTCGATTATTTCCATTATTTCTATTTTCATTTCTAACTCAAGACATCGATTCATGTCGATTGCCTGTAAAAATTCGTTGATTCAAGATGAAGACCGTAAAAATACGATAGTTGAGGGTTGTTAGACATATTGTGTGAATTTGTACTATGGTTGTTAACATACATAACAACATTCTACTAAAACATCAAACTGATTTTTTATGACGTCACCATTAGTATTAACGACGACGAGCGTGAATTGTCGCTAAACAAACAAAAAATAATGAATTCAACTCAAGTAAAATAAAACAGATATTGTTCATTTAACAAAACTTGGTGTGCTTAAAGAGACAAGTACAAAAACGAAGTTGTTTTTTAGTTTTAGCTTTGTTTTTTTTGTTTTTGTTTTTTCATGTTGAGTTTGTTTTTAATAGCGATATCTTATAAAATTGATAGTTTCACTATTCTTTCAAGTTAATAAGTAGTAGAGATATAAAAAAGTTATAAGTGGATTGAAAAAAAGAAAATCTTTATTGAAACCTTTTTGATTTTCTCAAAACTTGTATAACGAATTATGTAATGTATAACGAATTATGATAAATGAAGAAATTTCCATGAAAGAACTTTTTTTTCAAACAATAAATCTAAACTTCAAACGTTATAAATCATATTTTTAAAACAACATAATTTAATAATAATAATAAAAACAAAATTAGGAGTTCTTTTGCACATATGTTTAACATTTTATTTTTTAGATGATCAAAAGCATTTCTTTTTTCAATAAATTATTTGTGTTTGTGAAATGAAACGCTTTTGCATGTCTAATTTCTTCGAGCTAAATTTGAGTTATGCAATGTTTTACGAATGGTTTAGGTATAACAAAGTATAATAGGCCGAAATAGTTGTGATTTCTGCTTTTTTTTCCGTCTAATACTCTGTTGGTTATAAAATTTATTGGTTTTTGTAATGAGATTTGATCGTAACCATATACTATTCTATACATTTGTATAAGGTCTCTACAAATTCTTCTTTTCTCCAATGATTCCAGGTTAAAAACTTTAAGTCTATTTTCATATTTCAATTTTTTTAAAGATGGGACCATTTTTGTCGCTCATTTTTGAACTTTTTCCAAATGATCTATATCTTGATGTTGGTTAAGATTCCAAATGTGGTCTAAATGTGGTCTTACAAGAGATGTATATAATATTTTCATAGTGCAGACATCCAAATTTCTAAAAGATTTATTAACCATTCCCAAAATCTGGTTTGCATTATATGCTGCTTTTATGACTTGATTGTGCCATTTTAATTTATTTGTAATAATAATACCCAGATCTTTTTCTTTTTCTGTTTCTTGCAGTACTATATGTTCATTATTATTATTCATATTCATTATGTAATATTTGAATTTTTTATTCCAAAGTGCATAACTTTACATTTTTTTTCATTGAAACACATAGGTCCATAGGTCTGCCCATTGTTGCATAGATATAATATCATCTTGAAGCTTTGATCTTTCTGATTCGTTATTTATTGAAGCAATTATTTTGCTATCATCGGCATATAGTTTTAATGGAAATTTTAGTGTGTCTTGTAAGTCATTAATATATATAACAAATAAAATAGGTCCTAAAACTGAACCTTGAGGAACACCGCTTAAGACTTCTCTCCACTCGGATGTATGCTGACCCCAAACCACTCTTTATCTTATATTAGATAAGAAACTGTGAAGCTATTTAACCAATTTTTTTAAAAATCTTATTGTTTAAATGGTTCGTTATTTCATCGATTGTCTCAAGTAAGTTAGTTATACATGATTTAGAAGGTACAAAACCATGTTGATTTTTATTTATTAGATTGTTTTGCAGTAGATGATACATTATTTTATCTCGAATTATTCTTTCAAACGTTCTACAAACAACTGACGTAATAGATATTGGCCGATAGTTTGATGGATCTAATTTACTACCTCCTTTAAAAATCGGTGTATATCACTGGGGTTTACATTAGGACTGGGTCTAAATCAGGGCATTCAGCCCGATAAAAACAGAATCTTAAATTATAGAGTTTCCTCTATGACTTTCTTTTAAGTTTAGTATGTTTATTTTTAATTTAAAGTTCAAAAAAAACTCTTTTTTAAAAAAACCCTTTTTTTTGCTAGCTATAGCTCAAAAAAAAAAGTTACTATAGTAACTTTTTTTTTTTGAACTTTATTTAGGTTATAGGAAGTGGGGGCGCCAGCGTTTTTTGGTCTTTGAGGTAGCTAATATCTAGACATGGAATAAACTCCAAACATTTATAAGTTTATACTTATGTAAAATAAGGATGCTTTGCAAAAAATTACGATAATTGGTGCTTAGGAACAAAAAAACCCCCAAAATTTGGCCGACTCTGCCCCAAACGTGAGAGCAACAAGTTGATGAAATAGTTTTTATACTATTTTTAACAATACTTTTATTTATCGATAAATTTGAAGTTTTATAGTATTATCTCTTAGCGTTCAAAAATTATGACCATATAAAATTTGCAACCCCTTTAAATTAAGCGGGGTTTAAACTTTATATGGTCATAATTTTTGAACGCTGTGAGATAATACTATGAAACTTAAAATTTATCGATGAATATAATTCTAGTTGAAAATAGTGCAAAAACTATTTTATCAACTTGTTGCTCTCATGTTTAGGGAAGTGTCGGCCAAATTTATAAGGCTTTTTGTTCCCAAGCTCCAATAATCGCAATTTTTTAATCGCAATATGATATCAAAATTTTGATATCAATATGATTTCAAAATATTGATATTATTATGATATCAAAAAAAAGATACATCACCCCACCCCCTTTAAAATCTCACCCCCTTAAAAATGGTTAACTTAATTTTAATTGAATTGCCGCGTTTTAAATCTTTACGCTTCCACATTTTTTAAAATCTTTTTCGGTTTTTTATAATACAAAATAAAACAATTTTAAAGTTCTATAGATATTTTTACTTTTATAAAGTTTTACTATTATTTAATAATTGCATTGCGGCAACATCTCCCTAATTTCAATTTATAGCATTTATTTGGCGTTTTTTGCATTTTTTCTTTATCAAGTAGTTTTGTTGGGAGTTACTAGAAAAAAAGAATACAGTTATAGAGCAAAAAAACGGTTGATATAAGACATAAAAAGTTGTAGGTTGTTCAAGTCAGGAATAAAAGAGTACGACAAGGAATTCCTAAGGATGCAGGTGCGAGGAAAAAAACTAGATAAATAAAAGTTTTTACAGCATGCAGGGACAGATACAGTAAACGAATGAGACTTTGATGAATGACGAGTCAAGTTAGAATGAGTTTTAAGTGATAAAATTAGAGATGGAACTAGAGCTCCATTGAGCAGCCACCATAACAGAATTTTCAGAAAAGAAAAAGATATGCAACTTTTATGACAATGATGGAACCTTGAGGTATCCCAGACTTTAATTCAACTTTAATGAACAATAATAGAACCTTGAGGTACCCCAGAAGTTAATGGAAATTAAGAAGAGTATTGGTCTTCAAGGATGACTTAATAAAGCAGTTAGAAAAAAATACCTTAATAATTCCAAAAGCATTTTTGAATATAACATTCAAAACAGGTTTATGGAGAAGACCAACATGTTAAATTTAGTTGAAAGCTTCAGATATATCGAGAGCAATTGTCCTAGCATTTCTGCCTCCATCTAAAGCACAATAAAATCTTTCAGTTAGCAAATCTATTCTAAAACAAGACGGTTGAAAACCATATGATTATCTGACAGTATGTTATGTGATTCAAGATGGGTTGTGAGAAATTTGTTAATCAAAAACTTAAAAACTTTACTAATAACAGGAAGAAGACGGATTGGATATTGGAGTCAGAATGTTCACGTGTTGAAGATTTTCAAAAAGTCTTTAGAGCCTAACTTCTGAAATAAGAGGTTGTCCATAAATTACATCACGCTCTTGGGGGAGGGGAGGGGTAAGTGGTTTTGTGGCGTCTTGTACGAGACTTTTTTTAAAGAGTTACAATTTTGTGATATAAGAAAGGAAAGGGTCAAAAATGATTAAAAATTGCGTGACGTAATATACGGAAACTCCTAAAATGCTAGATTTAGTGAACTGAGAATAATGGAGCTTAACATCAGACTGGACCTTTTTACATCGGTTTTTCGCAGTCATAAATAATTATCTTTTTATTGAAAATTTTTATAATACTGAAGAAGTTATTAATAAATAAATAAATTGCCGTTTGTCCTTGCAATTTTTGCAAACATAAATAGCCGTTGTTTTTTTGGAAAAGATAAAAAAAAA